GGTGTTACATTATCTGCTTTTGTGTTCTAAATGAAAGTTGTAGGGCTATCTCTTAGCTTTCTAAGCATACTATAACCATGTAATTTAGAGGTCGGTAACATGATTAAGAAGATAAATACTGAGGTGCTGTTTATATCATACTTTAGTCTCGGGCAGACTTTATGAATCGAATGTTTTGTATCCAAACTCATTTGTAAAGTGATTATTTGCCAATATGGTCTTCAGCAAAGCTGTAGACATTTGAGTTAGCTATCATTTAGTTTTTGAATCTCATAAAAACATGTCTGTAGCTCCAGTTATCTATTACATACTGAAGTCTGGTCGGTTACAAGTTCTCGATTTTTTACTGCTACTCAGTTTTGAATGTTTGATGATTTATTTCCTAGTACACGATCTTATTTGCTTTCGGTGTCTTCATAAGAATTGTAGATACATGTGTTAAGATTTCAGTACAACTTGAATCATATTCATCCGAGTTTTGTACTGAAAGTTATGTTGATTTCAAAAACGCTGCCCGGTTTAAGTTTTTTTAAAAAACATACATAGTATTTTTAGAAATGGGATTTTATGTGAGCTTAGTTGGACTAAGTGATTGTTATGATTAGTTGTTCATGTGTTTCATAGTCATTTATAGGACTATTTTAATAAATGTAGGTGCTTGACGAGCCAAGCTCGCCGCCTACCCGTTATTGTTGTGCTTTCGCTTGTTATCGTCCAGGTGGGTTTACTTATAAAATTTGCTATCCCGTATGTATTATAATTAATGTTGGGTTGGTATGATCTAAGTATGCATGTAAACCATGTAGCCTATCGGCGTGAGCCGATTCGGCCGTCGGTACGGTTGTTCCCGTCGATGTAATACGGTTACCCTTGCGAGGTAAGTCCCTTAAGACCTAATGAAAGGCCGTGTCCGTAGCGTGACACGTACCCCCACCATTAGGGTAATGAATCCCTTTTCCGTGGCTAATGAAAGATGTGTACACAGGGGTAATATATTGTGATATGATATGGGGATGTGACAGGTATTTGATTTATGTTCATACTGCGACCATGCCTTCTTTACATTATTCATTATTGTGCTATACGTGCATAGTGGTGAGCACCTCATTTTCATCTTGTGCTCATCCCCACCTGCTCTTCACGGATGCAGTTTAAGCAGGTGTCGGGTGACAAGAAAAGACGAGTGGGTCGATCTATTGATTATGCCTATATATTTCGCTTCCGTTAGAATAAATGGGATCTTGTTGAACCTTTTATGTTGAGGCTTGTGAAAATTTTATTAAAACTTATGACTTGTTTTGATGTTGGGATCACTTGATAGACCCTTGTTTATGATGTTTGGTTTTTATGAGGTTTGAATATTTGAGTATTTTGTCATGTGATACGATTTGGGTTAATGAAAAACTTTTAAAAACCAGGTAATGAATCCCCGTGGACCCAGATAAGACTTGGGTTATGAAAAATGTTGTTTAACACCCGTTAGATTTCGAAAATGATCTCGAAAAAATTATTTACTGATTTTTGGAAAGTCCGGAATTTATTTAAAATCAAAGTGGGGTGTTACAGGGATCTTAACCGGTTGACGATCAAGAACAAGTATCCGCTTCCCAGGATCGAATATTTATTTGATCAGTTGAGGGGAGCCTGTGTGTTTTCAAAGATTGATTTATGATCAGGCTACCACCAGTTGAAGATTAAGGAGTCAGATATCGCTAAGACCGCGTTCCGAACTCGTTACGGCCATTACGAGTTCGTCGTCATGCCATTCGGCTTCAGTAATGCTCCAGTGGTTTTCATGGACCTGATGAACCGTATTTTCCATCCCTACCTCGATCAGTTCTTTATTGTCTTTATTGATGATATTCTTATCTACTCGAAGAGCCAGAAGGAGCACGAGGAGCATCTGAGGGTGGTTCTCAAAACCCTCAGACGAGAAAAGTTGTTTGCAAAATTCTCCAAATGCGAGTTCTGGCTCCAGCGAGTAGTCTTTCTGGGTCATGTGATTACTCAGGCAGGTATCGAGGTGGATCCTTCCAAGGTCTCAGCTGTTCAGAACTGGTCGACACCGAAGAGTCCGTCCGAGGTTCGCAGTTTTCTCGGTTTAGCTGGCTACTATCGCAGGTTCATCGAGAGCTTTTCTAAGATTTCCCTCCCGCTATCCCAGCTGACGAGGAAGTCTGTGAAGTTCGAGTGAACTGATCGTTGTGAGTCGAGCTTTCAGGAGCTCAAGAGGAGATTAACTTAATCACCGGTGTTGACTATTCCCGATCCTTCTCGGAGTTTCACCATTTTCAGTGATGCTTCGAAACAGGGTTTGGGATGCGTCCTTATGCAAGATGGCCAGGTCGTTGCCTATGCTTCACGCCAGCTTAAGCCGCACGAACAGAACTATCCGACGCTGACTTGGAGTTAGCCGCAGTTGTTCATGCTCTCAAGATCTGGCGACACTATCTTTACGGTGGTCGTTGCGAGATTTTCACAGATCATAAGAGCCTACAGTACATTTTCACGCAGAAGGAGCTTAACTTGAGACAGCTCCATTGGCGCGAGCTCGTCAAGGATTACGATTGCTCGATTCAGTACCATCCGGGGAAGGCGAACGTCGTTGCGGACGCCCTAAGCCGAAAGGTGAGGGGTGACTTGACGTACGTCGTTACTCAACAAAGTCCGTTGATTCAGGAGTTTGCCCGGATGCAGATTCAGGCGGTCGATGCACTTCCCACAGCTATTTCGGGGAGTGTCAGTGCCAGTATCAGTGCTATGCAGCTTCAGCCGACGCTGAGAGAGAGAATCCGGCGGGAACAGGCTTCTGACGAGTTCGTTCGAGTCATGGATGCCAAAGTCCGCGCCGGAGGCGTCGAGAGTTTTCAGCGAGGTTCAGACGGTGCCTTGGAGTTCAGAGACAGGATCGTGGTGCCAAAAGTCTAGGCGCTACGGAAGGA